TGACCCTTTTTTATACTAATAATATAAACAATTTTTTTATAAATATATTAACATAAAGTATTTACTAATTGTATTGTAGGTCTTTTTATGAGCAATTGTGGATTTTGAGAGCTAAGGTGTTTTGAGTTGGTTTTTGGCTACTTCCCTTGATGCGGAATGTTGGTTTAGTTTAGTTATTTTATTTATGTTGGGTTGATTTTTGCTTATATTTGGAACAAGTATATTGCTTTATATTGGATTAATTTCTATGTATATTTGGAACAACTTATGTTTGGAACATGTTGCTTTATGTTGGATTAATCTCTATTTGGAATAATTTTGTTGATTTAATTATTTGTATTAAATTAATTTTTATTTATGCTTGATGTAAAAAATATATACTTTGTCATTAATTGGTGGGGAATGGGGATCCCCGCGAGGAACGGGGACGGGTGCCCCCCGTCAAAAATCCCCGCGGGGATCCCCGTCCCCGCCATTTGCGGGGACGGGGACAAGGAGGCACTCCCCGGCCCCGCGGGGCCCCGTTGACATCCCTAGGAGTAAGGGTAGATGAAATCTTATCTTGAACCTTGTCTCCTTTGTGGATGGGTTGGGTTTGCAGGGGTATTTGGGCCTTTCCTATATTGGGACCACCATTTGGAGCTGGACATTGTTGGTTCTTTTGCTGAGGAGAGGGATTCGGACCGTTTGGAATAACGTTAGTCTCATTTAATGAACTGTCAACTCTGACGCTCCCTTTTGAAATAGGTGCCCTTGACCCGGCTCTCAACCCACCGGGTCCACTCACTGAGTTTGCTTGAGGATGATTGCTCTGTTTTTCCATCAAAATATTTGATTGGCCAGCTTTAAAGCTAGTACTTGGTTTCTTTTTGGATCGCTTCCTCTCTACCAACATCCAAGGGCCAAAGCTTTGAGATTCTGGAATTCCAATATCCTAAACATTTTCTGATTTAGAGGGGAGCTGAGAGTTGATGGCAGTTTCCTCATTAGGAGGGTTAATCTGAGATAATTGCAAAGGACAGTGGTTTTCTTTGTGACCAACACAACCACATGAGAAACATAATGAAACTGGGCCTTCATATAGAACCTTTTGAATATGATTTCCAATACCAACACATGGGACAAGTGGTTCATCAAGATCAAGTTAGATACAAATACGAGCATATTGTCCCCTTGATTGATGTGCAGTATGAGCATCAATTCTCAGTGGAGTGCCCAACATCTTGCCAATCCTTTCTAGAATTTTAAAGTCATAGTATTCAATAGGTAA